TATTTTTTATGGCATTTGAACTTGTAAGACATAATGTTTTAGACATTCCTTTACAAATGTGCGATTCTTATACCTTACATTTATTTAATGATAATGTTTTAATTTATTTATAATGCCTTACCCTTATAGAAGATATTATAATATTATGTTTTCAAGTTTACAATGCATTGAAGAAGACGTCTCTGATACAATTAAATATATTCTTGATCAACATCACCAGCGGAATCGATATAGCCATGTGGGTATGTCCGACTTTTGTAGCCTTTCATACGCAAAACTCCCTCACTTTCTAAGATATATATAATAGATATCATAAAAATAATTGGTAAATGTTTTTTTTTTATTTTATATAATTCTATTATTTTTATATTACCAAGATTTCTGAGCCTAACCCACAAAATATTCTTGTTATTAATTTCCAATTTATCCAGATAGAAATTTTATTGCCAACTATTTTTGAAATCTATTACTTTTTATTACATTTTTTTTTAGAGAATTTAAAAAGCTTTACAATTACATAGAGCTACCAAATAAGTAGTAAATACAAAATTTGTCTTTTGTATTAATCGAGAAAAAATACACACAGTTTAAAGTTGTATGGTTTGACGGTTTTAGCATCACATAAAATGATTAATGCCTTAAACGACAGATTTATAATATTTAGTGGGTCAACCTTTATTTCGAATTTTAGTACTGGAGGCGACTCATTTACTATTTTATTCACTTTCATTTTATTTAGCTTCTGTTCACTTTTAATGGTAACTCATAATTGAATATTCACGCGGAATCTAAATGCGTTACCAAGTCGAGACTAAAAGCCCGTAGTGGATTTTTCTGTTTAAGAAAGGAAATCCATAATTTTTTTTTAATTTTAAAAATTTGGTTACATTTGCGTCATGCAGTATGAAACATCTCGACGGAGACGACATCGTAAAGTATAAATAATATTGATCAGTATCAAAACGAGAGTCGATATAGCAGAGTCCTTCTGTCCGTCTGTCTACTTCTAAGCGCACTTTTTTTTCTCAGTTTTAAAGCTTTTTAAGGAACCTTGGAACATTTCCTTCAACAGGTCCTGACAACAGATCAAAAGATGAGTTCTTGCATGAAAAAGGCATTTGTTTACCCAGTTATAAGAGCAAAACTCATCAGTTAATTGAGGACAAAAATCATCAACATCGGACCATTATATCATACAGTTTTGTTAGAAATAATATGTTGGTTTTCAAAGGTTAGAATGAAATTTACCTAAGATGGACGTTCTTTGTATATTTTCAATTTATTTAAAAGTTTGTTTTCTTAAACAGAATACCTATTGTCTATTTGTCTTTTGCACCCGAATTAATAGATACTGTACTCGGAATATCAAATCTTAACTGGACTGAAAAAGTTGTCATACGACACATATCACTTTGATTGGTTTCAGTTGTCATTATATTGTTATAGATGATTCATTATAATGGTATAAAGGATCATACAATAAACAGGAAAGAAAAGTTTATTGTAGGCTATCCGAAGATTACATGTCTTGTTGTTGCTGAGAGTTTTAAATAATATTCTATTTTAGTACGTTTCCTGTTTGTAACAAAAATGTTCACAAGATATGTTAGTTAATCTTCGGCGTTCTTAAGATACCCTGAAATATTTATCTTGGAGTTTATTTCACTTAATTTAAATCAAAAACAAGTGTATTGATGAAATGGTAAGAAGCATTATCGAATGTTTATTCATTCAAAGTTTATTTTGCAGTTGTAACAAATATTTGCTAAGCATTATTGCTCAAAATATTGAGATTGTTTATACAATCCGGGGCTAAAATATTATTCAATTGATTTCTAGGAAAAAGGTAATAAGACTATAATTTGATGAACTATCGATGATGAACTCATTTTCGGTATTGATCTCATATTTAAATCAGTGATAAATAACACCTGTATTTCATTTCTAAACTTTCGCAATAAATTTAGATTGATACATTTGTACATTTAATACCAAAATTAAAAGAAAAAAATAAATAATTCAGCTTTTGTAATGCATCTGGTTTAACTGATAAGAGAACTACTTGTTGGTGTTAGTCGCAGAATCCCTGTTTTGGTGCAGACCATGCTTTACTAGAATTTAAATCGACAGCACGTCGATAAGCTTAGAAGGCCCAAGCGATAATATATTTTTATCATCTGGCACTTTAAATGAAAAATTGCTTTAAATCAACAAAACTTGCGTATATTATAACTGATTTTCAAAATTTACAGATAAATTGTTATAGTACTATAAATTAGTTCTGGACAAGTCTATCGTAAACTTTGGATTTATTTTCATAATTTGTTGGATTGAAGACCTACCGCAATAAATTCTACATTTTGAAAGTGTTTAAAGTTGCTATTTTTCTTGGATTTGTGTGGCTTACCATTGGTAAGAATGACAGAAGTCCCGTCGAATTATTTATCTCTTTTTCATATCGAAATGAAGACAAACCATAAATCTCTGGTTAAAAAAACCCAAGATTTGTTATTTATTCAATCTTAATTTACTTTACTCTGATTTTAAATGATTACTGTTATAGCTATTAAGAAATCATTAATAATACCATTTTAAAAAAATGTTTTCATAAATATTTCTAACAGTCTAATTATTTTCCCAAAATTCAAACTTTTTACGCCCACTGAAGAAAAATTTGTAAATATGAAATTTTTCACTAATACATAAAAATCCATGGATTATTAATTGATAATTCTTGAAAAATCAAATTTCAATCAAAACCTTTTCGCTTCTCACTAAAAGCTAAATTTACCAAAGCGAAATAATCGCAAAACATTAACTTTGAGGCAATTTTAACTTGAAATAAAAATTATTTTTAACTGAGATGGATCATGTTACTTTATTTTATCGGTCACATCCTCCTTTGGAATATAATTTGCCATAATCATAATTTCAATATCAGCATTACCAGGACTGCCGTTTCAGCCTCTTTTCAGCAATGGAAACAAGTCAAAGGTTTATTTCAAACAATTGATTATGTTATTATAGATTTGCTGTATATTCACCGAGGAATTACAGAGTAACAAGATGCCTTAATGAACCAAACCGATTTCAACGGCTGGTTAAGCCGGAAAGGAAGCGATAACTGAAAGGCATACTGCCAATATTAAAAAGCCCAAAAATACTTCAAAGTCCTTCTTGACGCTTAATGATATTTTGTCCACAATTTGTGTGTGTATTTAAAAAAAAATACAAAGTTTGATAATGTCATCATGGTTATTTCTGCAATTTCTATAAACCGATTAAAAATTATGTAAAAATGAACCACATAGAAGATAACAAAATACGTCAATTTGATAATTAAATTATTAATAAACGATTTAAAATAGTTGCCATCGCAATCACCAATAAACTTGATTATAATTTTAGCTTTTCTCCATTCTTTTAATTATATTTTTTGCCTTTTTAGTGTCTATTTGTCCTATTTTAGTAATCGATAGTTGATTGATTGATTTAATTTATGTATTTCTAATCGATTAAAAAAAGTATTGCATACACTGCTGCGATTCGTAATCGAATAAGAAAAAATATAAAACATTTTTAAATTTAGTTACTCCATCTCTGAAACTGTGTGAAATATATTGGAATGTGGTTTTTGCGTGGCCAAGAAATGTATTTATTTTTCTATATCAATTAACACTTCATTCTACACGAGATCGTGGCAGATCTGCAAGATCTTACATTCCAAGTTGTAAGAGTCCAGACAGATGGACATTATTAGAAATGACAATATAATCTACTACAAGTGTAGGGATGCTCGAAAAGAAAGACATCCGCCAACACACTTGTTGTCTATACTATACCGTACCAAATACAAAGGGTGTCAATAAGTGTGTCTTTTATAATTCGATCGAGAATCAACGTTGCTCTTGAGAGACACACTGTAATTTATTCTCACTCTTTGCATAAATCTAAATTCAGTGATTGAAGACAGTAATTAAAATATAATACACGTGTACACAGAAAAAGCTTGCTTGTTCCTGTTTGGGGCAGGTTAATTTACGATTTGTTTAACCACTTCAAGGTATATTCCAATTGTGGCTTTCATGAGTATAGGTAATCAATTTTAATCGATATTTAGGAAATTGAGGAAGCTATCGATGAAATACTGCCTCTGTCTCTTATTCAAACGAACTGGCAGATAGAGAGAGAGCGAGAGAGAGATAGAGAAAGACTGACGGAAAGACAGACAGGCGCACATGGCTAGATCAGCTCGTCTCTTGATGCTGTTCAAGAATGTATATACCGTAAGGGGTCGGAGGTAACTCCTAATGGCTGTTACAACTCCATGATACTATTTAACTCATTTTTAATGGGTTCATTTGGATGAAATATTTATCAATATAATTAAGCCTCCCTACATCCTGTGGACTTTACCTTGTAGAAATAAGTAATTCATTTAATTTGGAAATTTTAGTAAGTATACTTGTAAAAGCAATAATTTGCTTGTTTTTTATTAATACTTTTAGAGTTTTTTATTAATTGTTTTGTTTTTTCTAAATTATTCATTGCAAAGTTAACACAATCTATTTTACGTATATTCCTTTTAATACATAGAGTGCGAGTACTTTTGACATTGTAAAAAAAAGTATTTTCGCGCAATAATTCATCTACCTATATACATATATTTTTACAAATTAAATTAGGATTTTACTAGTATTGAAGATGTGGATAGAACGAAAATATCAAAAAATAACGAGTGGAAATTTAATTTATTTGAAATAAATATATACGCAGTAAAGATGTGATAATTCATTGAATTTGTATTTTAAATAAATATTTACGCGATATAGATTTGAAAATATATTTGAAATTTTCTCGTATTAGTTAGTTGAAGTTCACTTTGGCTAAATGTAAGTTTATGTGGGTCTATGAACATAGTCTATATATATATGCTAGCATTTACTGATCAAGCTTTAACTCTTATAAAGAAAGGAACTACGTTTATGTACATACACATCAACAGCATTGAATTCTCACATATACACACTGGAATAGCTTCGTCCAATAGAAGCATATGTTTATATCGTTCGCATACCAGAGCTTATTCTATTCTGAGTTTCGGGTCCTCGGTACGTTTGCGGCGGTGGTATTATCGAAAATGTGTTGCAATAGCTACTGTGTATATTCCCAATTGGTGCTGCCGACATCATCAGGAGCGGATGTGCCATCGCCAAGTCATATGTCATGGACGAAATGCCCGAGGACGCCTGAATATTTCCGGATACGTTGACCCCAGCCGCATAATGCAGGAACGGTAAATGCGCCGAAGCTGTTATCGTATGCAGTGGAGGTAGTGGGCGCTGTCGTTGATCCTCGGGATGTGCGGCGGGCAGCGGTATCGATGGACTCATCTCGGCGGATGATGTTCGCGGGTAATCGGATATATTCGTAAATATGTTGTTATTGCCACCGCCGCACTCCACCACATCGATGTCGGTGCGATCGTCGTCTTCCTCGTCCTCCTCGGAGACCTGGTCCGGCTGCCTGTCGGGCGTGATAAGACTTTCGATTGTAAACGATCGCTTTGGCCGATAACTATTTGTGCCGTGCTCCAGCTCGAGAGCTCCATTATTATTTGTGGACGAGCGCAGATTGAGCAATGTCATTTCGGTCAAATTGCTCTCCGCATTCTGCCTAGGCCTATGTGCCATATGTGGCAAGGGGCAATGTTGCACCATGGCGGCGGGCGAAACACGATTTGCAGCGTGGTGTGACAAAATTGCCGTAGACTCTACCACATTCATAGTGGCACTATTGACGTCCAAAGCCGGCATTGGCGTTATTGTGCTCCCCGAACGGGCCGTGAAGAAAAATCGATTGATGTTCGCCAAGGCGGTAAGCTCCTCATTGAGGAGGTTCTTATCATTTTTATGCAATTTGAAGCGTTTTCTTCGTCGCAACAAGCTCCCGTTCTCGAACATATCGAACGCCTGCGGGTGCAGTGCCCAATAGGCCCCCTTTCCGGGTCTGTCCGGTCGTCGGGGTACTTTGATGAAGCAATCGTTGAAACTGAGATTGTGTCTCAGTGAGTTTTGCCAGCGCTGTGTGTTTTTTCGATAGTATGGAAACCTGTCGGTTATAAATTTATATATATCGCTTAGAGGTAGCATTTTCTCCGGTGAACTCCAAATGGCCATTGCCGTCAGCGAAATGTATGAATAGGGAGGTTTTTGATCACCGTACGATTCACGTGAGGGCCTAGGCATTATTTTTGTATTGTGATGATTTTGATATCGGTGTGGTTGTATTGTATTATTAACTGTGTTCTCTATGTTAATATTATTATTATTATCGTTGTTATGATTATTATTATTATTATTGAATGTCTTGTGATGACAAACACCATTTTAGTAATCACAACTTTTTCTATTACTCAAGCTGGTAAACACAAAAAAAGACGAGTATAAAGTAGCGACATTATCTATTTTTTTCCTTTTGTTTGCTTGTTTGTTTGTTATTAATGTTATGTAAATAGTCGGTGATTTGACATTGCAAATGTGTCACTGGCGACGGTAAAAATAAGCGCGCGAGCTCACGTCAGTAATCGCCGCACAAATACTACGCTTCTGATAAGCTTAAGCAGAGCAGAGCAGAGCAGAGAAACAGAGAAACAACAGCGAGTGTGAATGTGAAAAGCGAAAAGCGCTCTCCAAGCGGGGTTTGACCGGTCTGGCGAATTACCATCAAAAAGCTGAATACGAATACGTGAGCAGTGCTGAGCAGCAGTGCTGAGCAGTGAGCAGCAGTGGCAACTGTGGCTGCAGCGAGGGTGAAGCGAAGATAACGACAGACCCGAAGCAAAACAAACGAAGGAAGAACCAGACTCACATAAAACAAAATCACTCTTGCACCGGGAGACTAACAGACGGCGTGTCTGTCGTTCGTTCGTTCGTTCGTTCATTTGTTCGCTAGCTCGTTCGTTCGTTCGTTCGTTCGGTCTGTCTGTCTCCCTGTCTGTCTGTCTGTCTGTCGTTGTGTCGCTCTGTCTGTCGGTTATTGTACTAAGTGAGCAATGCAGTACAACAAGCAACCAACCACAGTGAGCAATGCAATCAAAATATAATCACTCACATCATTGCCCCCGTGCTCTCTCCCAATCACCGCCATGCCAATGTATCATCCCTCTAAAACGGCAAAACTTCAAAGAGCGAGAGCCGAGAAAAAGAGTCAGAGATTTACTAAACGAGCCAAACCAGTTTGGCCAGACCATACCATACTATACCATACCAGACCATACCAAACCAAACCAAACTATACCATACCATACCATACCATATCATACGATACGATACCATAGCAGACCACACTCCACACACACTCACACACACACATACAACACACACACTTTGGCAAACAAGACGATAGTATAGTAGTTGGGAGTGTCTACAGACACATGGCTTAGCAGCAGCGACTACAATAAACGACTGACTGACTGACTGACTGACTGACGGACGGACTGAGTGGACTGACTGGACTGACTACACTCCGCAATCGACAAAAGAGCCAGCCGCCCGGCAGCTGACGACCCAATATGAACGCGAGGTGTTGAAAAAGAAAATTACATCCACTTTAGCGATTTACTGATTTTACGTTTTCATAATCTTGTTAGTTAATTTGGATGGCTGAGAGCAAACTTTAGCTGAGAGCTGAGCCGACCTGAGCTGAGCAGCTTACAAATACAGCCCAAAAGCAACTTCTCTTAGAATGCTTACGTATGTGCATATGTATGTATATTTATATGCATATGTATAGAATATGCATACATGCATGCCTTTTCTAATCTAGTGAGTCATTTACATTAATAATATTACTAATTGTGTACTAACAATTTAGCTTGTAATTAAAAATATATTCTCATAAATTATCCTCAATTTAATAGTTGCGATAAATATAATAATACAGAGTCAACATTTATATGTACAATTATGTGCATATGTACATTTCGGTTTTTGTCTCTTTTCCTTATTGTAAATACAAATAAATTCAATTGCTAAGTAATTCAAGTGTTCGTAGAGATAACAAGGTACTCATCATGCAAAAGTGAGCAAAAGCAATGCAGTATTCTATAGACCAAGAAAAGTACACAACGAATGTGGTGTTAATATGAGAGAGAGCCTCTCTCTCTCTCCCTCTCCCACTCTCACTCTCTGGGAATGCGCTCAGTGACTGCCAGACAGAGACAGAGAGTGTCAGAGAGGGAGAGAGAGAGAGAGAAAGCAACTGGGTGGAAAAGAGATACACAGAAGCAACTCGACGGCAGGACCAGCACTATGTACATACTGTAAAATTAAACAAGGACAGCAACATGCTGCTCGGCGCTGAAATATCAATCGAGCTTTGCTCGCCTCTCATTTGCCCAAAATAAATACTCGATTTGATTGGTCGTCGTATGGCGTGCACTCATTTATTTGTTGTTGGGCGGATCTTTGGCATTGTATTTTAACAATGAGAAAATGAATTTTAGTCAAGCACATTATCAAATTAATTACATATATATAAAATGACAATAATTGGGCAATAACAAGAACGATCAGATCTGTGCGGCACGTCGAACATTATATACCCTGCTCACATCTACATTTCATTTCTGAGCTTCAAATTTCTAATAAATTTCCATTATACCTCGAAAACATTACTATGTTTTGGCAAAGTTTGACAAATTTTTATTAGCAGTGATTAACGTAAGGGACTTGTTTATTTGCTTAAGATATGTATATGGAAAGCCGGAAAATTGACATACAATGCTTTTATTCTATTTATAAATTTAAATAAAACTATTTCTAAATTATATATCGCAGTCTGCATTCAGAATGATTTTGGTTAAAACCTTTCATATCAATTTCTATGCATTTATTATCTTCTTTTTTTTAAATAGAATTTTATAACTTAAAAATTCTGCTTCGCAAAAGCTATAAATTCCAAAAAGTTACAAATACGTTATCAAGTAAAACCTGATTTAATTAGCATTTTGTTGTTCCCAATGAAAGAATCTAGACATGAGATCAATTTTTAATTGATATACAAACGTATTAATGATATCTTGTGTGTGATATAATTGTACTTTTGGGCATTTGGGTCGGTCTAAAATACTCTGATACCATTGTAATAATATTTGAAAATGATTTTCGATTCTCCACCTTTAAAGTTGGCATCTGATATTGAGACGAATTTACAGGAATGGCCAGTGATTGTACAAAGCAATACTGAAAATTAAAATAAGTACAACAATAACGAATTTTAATGAGTAAATCTTTTCAACCAAAAGAAATATCATTTAAACTTCCACGACAACATTTTTGAGGTTTTTCTTTATTTATTGATTACTACATGAATAATCGCAGATATAAAAAAAAAATCCACCAAATTATCGTCACTGCTATTTGATTTAAAATATTCTAAGAATTAGTTGCGGCTCCCCTGCTGTTCTGTAAACCATTTTATCCCTTTACGAACCGATGACAACTTTTTTTAGGGTTCGCGGAGTGATTTTTCACAGCTCATTTTTGTTAAATATTTTTCGCATATTTCGCATATTGCCCACAAAATTCGCCATATTACCGATATCACTTGACAATGCTGCCATTTTTATCACATGGCGACAATATATTTGCACTAAGTCCGACATATGTTGGTAATTTATGCGAGATCCTTGGAACTTTGAAATAAAAATAAGAATATTTATGTAATTTTATTTTTACATTGTGGGTATCACTGATCATTTTCAGTTTCGAGAACAACTTTTAACATCAAACACTTTGAATGAGGAATCATGGAATAAAACTTTATTTAAACTTCTGTAGAGTGAGAAGAAACTGCATCTAACTTTTCCTTATAATTTCAAATTTTAGTCGGATATTGAAGATAATATTATTTTTATTATGTGATTTTTTAAATGAGTGAATTATTTGAAATTATATTCCATCAGGATACATAACAGTTATGTCTCCGCCTATCTCGTCCCACATCGTAGAACCCATCTTCAAGCCGATTGCTTCTAAAGCAGCAGACTCAAATTGCTCTGAAACGTATACAACAAAGATAAAATAAAGATACCTCCTATAATTAAAACTATAATTTGCCTGATTTTAAGACAGTTCGCTTAAATTAAAATAAAAAAAACTCCACACTTAATGTGCTTATTTATACAAAGCTTTGTAAGTATTCTTGTGATGACTTTTCACATCTCCTTATTAATAAACCAACAAGAGCCTTTAAATCTGTTTTCCTAATTTGGCCAGTTAACAGCATTCGACTTGTTGGTATTCCGGTTACTAAATTTAGTGGTAGCTACTTAGTTGGTTGCAGCTAACTGTTAACCGATACCCTTCAGCCGATAAGCCTGTCCGACTATCAAAATCAAAGTGCTGATGTCACGTGTCAAAACATGACCAATTGTAAGAAACGTATAATTACGATTTGATTGATTAGTCTTTTTTTAATCCACAAATCCTCCGACGCTGTTCACATCACCCCTCGCGATTTATTGATGTTTATAAAGAGCTTACCAAAATATCTGCTTACTTATTTACAAGATTGGTTTATTGTCAGATTATCGAGATGATAGACAAATTCACAGATGTTTTGTATACTTCATCGAACACTGACCAGAGGAAAATATTTAAGAACATAGTAAAAATAAAAACTCGTCTAGTCGTTATCCTTATATAATATAAATATTTTTAAACGATTTCATTAACAACTTTCGAGGCATGCCAAGTTTTTTATTTAACATGACAGCTATATCTTTTAAATAATGGGTTATTTTACTATCAGGATCCGATATTACCGAAGATAATCTGGAAACGGAGGAATTATTCTATAAATTGCAAAATAAATGTGGATTATACACGAGATACAAATGGTTTGAAACCAAGATTCGACTTTTTATAATTATATTTTGCTGATTTTTACTCTAGTCGCTTTTAACACATTTTTTGATGTCTTCGCAAGCAAACTTCTATATCTCATATCTCTAATCTAGGTTAGGTTAGGTTATATCGGCTGTCAGCCAGATGGGCTGACACACTTAGGCCATATTTGGCCCGTTGTGATACCGAATGGGATCCAGGAATTTTCTCCTGCAGTCGTGCCTCCAAAGTATTCTAACAAGTCAAACATTTGCCCAGCCAGATGCGTTTATGAATTTCGCTATCTTGGCCGGTCTCATATATCGGAGCTCCGATAAACCAGTTAGGGAGTAGTTTCCCAGGATTGCCAGCTTTTTCCTGCCAAGTGCTGG